CTGAAGTTAAAGGGAACTTGTACAGTATTGGTGGACATGGCAACTTCAGTCCTGGCTTTAAAGATGTGGCCATTTATAATCCCGAGCAAGACAAATGGCTTAACCTGGAGTCAGCACCAAAGATTCTGCGTGATGTCAAAGCTGTTTCTGTAGAAGACCGGTTTGTTTATGTTGCTGCTCGTACCCCAGTTGACAGTGATAGCGAAGATGGATTGAGGGCGGTTATTATCAGATACGATGCTGAAACAAGGCAGTGGCAGGATGTGGATTCTCTGCCACTCATTGATAATTATTGCTCTTTTCAGATGTCTGTTGCTAACACAAACTTTTACCATACAGCCTCGTGTTGCCCCAAGAGTTACCCTATAGATAATGAGGAAGCCAAGATAAAGATCTCTGGCAGGGCCTCAGATGAGATACTTGAAAGCTTACCCCCAGAGGTTCTTAGCATTGAAGGAGCAGCTATTTGTTATTATAAAGATGATGTTTTTATCATCGGGGGGTGGAAAAACAGCGATGATATTGACAAGCAATACAGGAAAGAGGCGTATCGCTACTGTGCTGAGAGGAAGCGCTGGATGCTTTTGCCTCCTATGCCTCAGCCTCGCTGCAGAGCAACAGCCTGCCACGTGAGAATTCCTTTCAGATGCTTGCAGGGAACACAAAGATACCCTATGCCGCAGAATTTGATGTGGCAAAAAGATAGAATAAGGCAAATGCAGGAAAGGCAGATGCAGGAAATACACCGACACTCCCTAAGCTTACGGAGAATGCCGCGCTCGCAGATTGAGTGCTAGCTTCTGGAACATCACTCCTGATGAATCTAGGAAATACTGTGCTAAACCATTTTGTTAGGCTTGCTATGTCTTTATAAGACGTGAGGGTGTTGACTGGATTTGATGCATAAAACCAGCATCTTTTATGTACTGAAAATTAAGAAGCTCAGAAATTGAGGGTGGATGGGAATTGAGAAACTATGTGAATCCAACAGTATTATTTAATGGTGTCCAGGAAAAAACTGTAGCCTGTAACGGGCAGTGAAATATCTCCGGGAACATTAAGTCTGTTATTTCTCTCTTCAGATCTTTGTTTTCAAGGATTTCTGTAGAGCTAGTCTCTTAACAGTTCTATTTTAAAAAGTAAAGATCTCTATCTTAATAATTTAGTCATTACATTTGTGTGTGCTTGAAAGCACCTGGTTTATTTGCACTTATATATTGACATTCCTTTAATTCTCTCCTCAGTGACTAAACTTCACATATAATTGGTGTTAGTGTACTTAGCTTTCCCAAGTTGGAGGCAGGTGCAATAGTTGTATGAAAACAAAAGCACAATCTTTCCTTATAAAATTACTTCGGGATGTTTCTATGTGTATTAAATATTTTGTATCTGTAGAGAGGCTGCAGAGTTTGTTTATAAATGGATGATTGGCAGAACACAAGACACTTTCTAAAACAGAGAACTTGAGGCAGTAGATTTTTTTTCAGGTGTATCTGAAGATGCTTTGAGTTTGTCTTTGACAGCTTCATTAGAAACTTGGGTCAACAATCAGCTTGATAAAAGGAGTGAAAACCAGTGAAGTAGCCACCCACCAACACTGAATATTCACTTTTCTCAGTGGGATTTAGTAAGAATGAGATTGTTTCACATTGACAGATTGAAACTTGAGCTGCTTCTAGATCCTTTCTCAAATGTTGCACGTGTTTTAATTCTAGTGAAAAAGTGATCGGAAGGACTCCCGCGAGCCTCTTTCCAGCCTGTCTTTGACAATCAGTGCCCTTTGCCTTTGGTATACTTTCCTGAGAAACAGTAGCTGTGCTGCAGTGCTCCCTTAACAAGTGGGCACTTGGTGTTCCTCTTAGAGGCTACAAAAACTATCTCACTTAAGTATTTGAATTTCCCCGCTTACTGTGGTGGCAAATTTAAGCTGATTTAAATACCTCTTGGTGTTTTGAGGTTGTTTTACCTAAACCAGTGCCCTGGCTGGCTCTGGTTTGCTTACTGCTGTGCTCCCAAGGAACAGAACGGGGAATATTTCAAGTGTCACTGCCTCGCAGTGAGCTGTCCCGCTGCCCACTCCTCCCTGATCTGACGAGCTCCAGGACGGTTTAGGTTACTGGTGGGTTCAGTGCATCCTTCCTACCTCCTGTTCTTCCCCACCCTTCCCTTCATGTGAATGTTCCAGGTTTTCACGTGCAACCGAACTCAGGATCTTGGGGAAGGGAAAGGGAGGAGTAACCAGGGTGTTCCAAAATTTCTGTAGACAAACTTTGTTGGAGAATCTGTTTACTGTCTTTGGTTCATACGATGATTTGCTGATGTTTTTGATGTGGGCAACTTCTTTGCAAAAGAACTTCTAAACAGTTTGTTTTTTTGTTTTGTTTTGTTTTTTAATTGTTTAGCTTTCTGAGCTGATACTTCTCATTTTCCAATTCAGCAGGCAACCTAGATCATATCTGAAACACTGGGTAAGTCTCTCAACCACATAGGTTATAAAGGTTTCTCTGATGTGTACATCCCTTAATGCTTCACTTTGCAGTTCACTTGCCACTTGATATCAATAACTTGTCTTTTTGTAATAGATTAATCTAGCCTCATTTAAAAAAAAAAAACAACACCTTGAAAATCTTAACAGATTAATCTCGATTTAATCATCCATAACAACTGTGTGGTATTTTATTTGCCTGTTGGATTGATATGCAAGGGTAGATTAAATTGTACAATGCTGGCCTAATGCAAGAGAGGAAATAGATAAGCTTGTTCAGGTTTAAGGCTGATTTATCAAATCAGCTCATGCAGGCCTTCCACGGAAGGGGTTAATCAGTGGAGTTTGGCCCACGAACTCTTGCACATTTTGCTGGAGTAGTTTAAGAATTACTGCCCCTACCACAGGGTTTGTGAACACAAGTGTGAAAACGCCTCACAGCTTTAGTAGTAAATCATTGATTTAACTTAAATATGTGGGAGGCAGATTTTAAGATACTTCACCAGACTTTGCCCAGAGACAACTGAGAAGATTTTACGTATTCCATCCTGCTGGCTTTGCTGTAGGGATTTAACAAGCAATTGAAAGATGGTAGTATGTCACACCGCTGTAGTTCTGTCAAAGCCCTCTTGTAGGCTGTCACCAAATCTGGACAATCTCTAGGGAGAAATACCAAGATTATTATGTCAGTTGGAGAATGAACTAAATAGTTTAATGTGTGGCAGCATGCAGCAAAGTTGGATGCAGGAACAAACTTCCTGCAGACTTTTTTTTTCTAAGTAAAATTGATATTGCACTTACTGTGAGAACTTCTGGCTGACATACAAGCTACGTAGTTTACTAAAGACATTCCGCCCAAAGACAGTGTCAGAACAGCTTAGTGTCTGGAGAGCTTAACTTGTGAATGCCAGCCACGATTCTGTCTGTGCTGCACTCCATCTGCATATGCTCTGTTTGCATGGTGAGTGATGGGCACGGTGAGGAGCACTGGTTTGCTCTAACTTTTGCTGTGTTAATTCTGTGGAATTTTTAAGTAGTTGGGGTTTTTTTAGCCTTGACTTTAAGTGGACCAATTGCATCGCACGTGGTTTTTAACTGACAAGTCTAACTATCCATTGTATCACATGTAGGTGTTTGAAAGAATTGCATTATTGACTCTGGCTGTAATTTAGCCCACTCACCTGTGAATTGCTTAACAAATTCCTTGTGGCCCTTGACTGCCTTAGCTTGCTGGGTGTCTATAAAACGATCCTATAAACACAGGTCTGGGAATTCTTTCAGTGTGTTTATAGTGACTAGCTAAATGTCAGTAAGATCCTAGTATGTATTCAGTATTAGAAGGCTGACTTCTGGTCTTCCTGATATAAAAGAACATCAGGTGGAGTTTTTCCTCCTCCTGCTGACAATCATACCTCTATACCTGTACTGAATACGTGCCACAAAATGCATGTTTCATGTCCTGTCTTTCTGCTCAAAGTACTAGTGGAGTAGGACACATCCTGTCTAGCGCTCGGTGGTCGTTGTAGTAATTTCTAGGTGCCATATGTGTACATAGTACTTTCTAACTACCTGAATACTCTGTTAGAATGCTGGGTTTGTATGTATTTTTAATGACTCTCTTGCACATAGTAGGGTACCACTCCAGAAATGAAGAAACCATGCGAGCTTTTTAGCATGCATTATGAATAACTACGCCAAGTGTTCTGCTATACTATTTAAATATATTTTTTCGCCATTACAGTAAGTGTTAAAATCAGACCTATTGGCTCAAGTTGGGTGTCATGGAATAGACTGATGGCTGCTGACAAACTGAGTCACAAAGAATTGCAACTTTTGGGTTATTTTTAACACAACCTTGTAATAGTATATTGTAACATTCAGTGGGCTTCAAAAAGCAAGCTTAAAGTGGTTTATGGCTTAGATTTATTTTTAGCGATGTCCCCATTATGTTAGGGTATAAATCATATCTCTAATTTGACAGTCCCAAGTGGAGGTCTGATAAAACAGGTGCCCCTGAGGATCTCATCCTATTACTGATATGAATGTAAAGTGTGGAGTTAATGAGATGTTTGAAGACCATTAATAGTCAGATACTCCTCATAGGTCCATGTCACTGGATCACGGCAGCTGGACTCTCCTGTCCATATTAATGTAGACTTCAGCAGATTGCTTGGGGAAGCAGCACTCCTGTACTTACTTCCAGTAAGGTAAAGTAGTATGTGTGTATAGGCCGTTTGAAACAAACCCTACTGTAATGTTCTTTACCTTAAATACACTGTACTAAAGTTTACTGTAATAAGTGAATTAATGAAAATAAACCTTTTATTTCTCTAGCGTTCCATTGTATTTTATTTTTGAAGTTGCTATGTAGGCTGTGGCCGATAACACGTATTTAGTGGTGACATAGAATGGAAGTTTAAAGTACTAATTCTTCATTTGGCCTGTATCAGTTGTTTTTTGGAAGTGAACGCATCCGCTTGCAGCTCAGAAGACTTTCTTAGCTCAGTGGAGCTGTTTATACAGGCAGGCTGCTCGCTGAAGAAGGGAAGCTGACGTCCCCTAGGAGCTGTCCCTGCGGTGCTCTCGTCTGGCAGCGTACTCCCGGACGTTCCGCAGACCCGGCACCACGCAGCAGCTCAGCGCGCTGCGGTCCCTGCCCATGTCGTCAACGTCGTACCACTCACTAGTGTTCCCGTCGTAACACTCGACACTGAAAGTCGTAGTAAAGCCGTCGTAGCCACCAACCACGAGCAGAAGATCCTCCACCACTGCAATGCCAAAGTTGCTGCGAGGACTTAACATGTCGGGGGCCGTGCGCCACATGTTGGCCCCGGGGCTGTAGGCTTCCACGCTCCGAAGCCGGTTGACTCCATCGCACCCTCCCACCTGGGAATGCCGGAGGTACAGCGCTGAAGCAGGCCCTTCCTCCCGCCAGGCCAGCCGCATCCTGCCGCGCACGGGGCCGGTGCTGACTGGTCCTGCCTCGCTGACCCCCCTCTGAGCATTGCTGAGAGCGTGTGAGCTCCAAGCAAGGCTGGCTTATCGCAGACGGCTCCCTTGTTCTTTCTGGAGCTTCCAAAAGCATTCTGTGCAACTGTCAGATTTCACGCTTCTGCGGGGTTTAAATGCAGTATGTGGGCAGGATAAACAGGACCGAGCAAACGGTCGGTGCTGCTGGTGCTGTTAGCAGCAGCAGAAGGTAATTCCTTTGCTGCAGCTGCTTACAAATTGTCCATACCCTTCTCATAACAAAAAGCGGGCTGGTGATAATATTCTCCGGAAACATATCAACCATTCTGGCTCGCTCTTCCCTAAATCTCACTTAACAAGCGACTGGCCGGCCTGAAAATCTCGGAAGTGCAGATTAGCAGGTGTAAGTACTACAGGTGCTGGGTGGTTATGGCAGAGGTACCGCTCCCCCTTACCGCATACACTTTGTCTCTGTACGCAGTGACACCCACTCCGCTTCTTCTGCTTCTCATCGGGGCTATAAAGGTCCATTGATTTGTTGTGGCATCGTACACTTCAGCTGTGATCAAGCATTCATGTCCATTGAACCCACCACAGATATACACCTGTTTGTAGGAGAAAAAAAGTGTGAGCAGGGCCGTTATATATACTCTTGGTGGAAGAACACGTTGCAGAAAAAATGAATGGTATGGCTGGGGTTTTGAGAGGGGGGTTTTTTTGGTTGGTTTGTTTTCTTTTTTTAATGGGGCTGGTCCTGTCATCCTGGGTTTGAAGTAGGTAAAGCGCAGCGAGTTGTTCCGACCAGCAGGCTTTAGCCCTGCTGTTTCCTGAGCTGCGTGAGGCAGATAGGCATGGTGCTTCTCTTGTGGCCAGGAAGAGTGCTGTCTGGCAGCAGGCGGGCGGTTGGTGGGAAGCAGCTCTGGGAGGGTTTTCGCCCTCCTGTCTGCGTCTCCGCCGTGCCAGTCAGGTGCTGCCTCGGGGAGAGCTTTCTATCTGCAGCTTCGGGATTTAATGAATAAGGTTTACGTGAACTTTCTTCCTCTCTAAGTGATTCACCGTGTTAAGAGGGAGCATTTGCTGTCTTTCCTGCTCCCGCAGCTCCTATTTTCGCCCCAGATGAGGGACTTGGAGTGGCAGCTGTGTTCCGCGGGTGCGTGGCGCGGTAAGAGGCTGAGCTCCGTGCCAGGCCCTACCTCGCTGCGCGCCATGCGAAAGGACAGGCCCTCGCTCGCCGCGCAGCGCTGCGCACTGATGCTCCTGTGGTTCCCCGTCCTGCTCACCGTCCTTCAACCTTACCTGCTTCCCCTCGTCTCCCGGCCCGTTTACCTTCTCACGCAGCGCGGTCGCGCTGGCATCGCTCCGCTGCTCGTGCATGGGGGCGATCAGTGTCCACTGGTTCGTCTCCGGCTCGTACCGTTCCGCCGTGTCGAGGCGCACGTGTCCGTCAAACCCCCCCAGGGCGTAGATGCAGTTGTGGAGGACGGCGACGCTGACGTAGCAGCGCTGCGAGTGCATGGGGGCCACCTGCTGCCATGTTTTCTTCAGTGGGTCGAACCGCTTGACGCTGCTCAAGCGATCCACGCCGTCGAATCCTCCGACAACGTAGACAAAACCCTTTAAATACACAGTGCCGTGGTAGGCAAGGGGGCTCTCCTGCTCACAGGTGACGTTCAGCCACTGCTCTGCACGGGCGTTGTACGCCTCGATGGCGTTGGTCGGGCTCCCCCCGCTCCAGCCTCCGATCGCAAACAAGACGGCAAAGGGCAGGCGAGGCTGGCTGAGCTGGCTGGCGAAATCGGAGTAAGATGGGCCGTGCATATTCCAGTTGTACATTTCTGTCAGTGCTTTTCTGATGAGAACTTTGCACTCCTCGTTGTCCTTCACATAATCGTGTGTTTTGACTCTGTTCATGAGGTATTCTGCCTGCATCAGTGCCAGCCGAACCTGCAGGATGCCAGAAGGAGGTGAGAATATTAATGCGGATAGTTTGCACCTTGGTGTCCTTCGTGGATGGCTCCAATGCTGGGTGGCTTTGCGTTCAGCATACAGTGTTGTCTAAAGCCCATTAGAGAACCAGGTAATTAACTGTGGTGTGCTAGTCCAGAAAGGGGTGTGCACCAGTGAATCATTCAGTTCACGGCAGGGAGTCTGCCACTGCTTTGGGAGGGTGCTTTCCCGTCCTGAGGCCTGCTGCCATTTGCATAGTACAGCTTGTCCAGGCAAACGGGCATAAACTTTGTGTGTGTAGAGGTAACGTCACCCCACGTGAACTTCGGCCCTTCCAGGATATGAGGCACAGTTAAACCTGAGCTCCGAACGCAAGGAAACGTGCACTTCGAGGGGCTGCTCCAGCCCCAGCGCAGCCCACCCCTGCGTGAGCAGCGCTGGGAGGCTGCAGCGTCCTCAGGAATTGCCAGAAAAGCAAAGCGGCCCCGTGCCCGGCTCTGCGGAGCCGCCCGCGCCCTGACAGCACCGACCTCGCCCAGCAAGACTGCGACGTGCTGCCTCCTGCTCCCCGGGTCGTGAGCAATCCATTGCAGAACAGCCTCGAACACGGCTTCCTCTTGTGTGACATTGAGCTCCTCCTTCTCAATGATGTGCTTCAGGTCGTCCACAGAGAGGTCTAGGAACTCCGTAGACACCTTGGTCATCTCCGCGAAGTGGTGCAGGATGAACAGATGGGCTGCTTCTCGCAGGTCAGGGCAGTAGTAACAGCCTGTGAGTCTCCAGATGCCGACACAATTTTCCAAGCATAGCTGGGATTGTAAGAACTCGCAGCACAGCCTGACGATGCCCATGACATTGAACTGGTCTGCTGCAGTTAGCAAATTTTCCACGTTGTCAGCTGTGACTGGTACTGTCCGGGTGTAGGCGTAGTCAATAATGAGCCTCATCATTTCAGGTGAAGTGCCAAGGATTTTATATACTCTCTTGTCTGCATTGCTCCAGCCGCTGGTAAACAAAGCCCTGAAAAAAACCAAAGCAGTGCTGGGGGTAAAAACAGCTTTGGTGCATTAAACGCTGCCCCCGATACCCCCGTGCCGCCTTCCCCAGGCACCGACTGGCGCCTACCAGTAGCCATGCCGGCACGCCGTGCAGTTTATTAATTAACGTTTTACTAGCTGGTTGCTCTAAAGAGGAGTCACAGCTTCTGGCTGTGGACAGAGAGCAACAGGGTGAGTGGTCACTTTGCTTCAGCAAGAATAGCAGAGAATAATGATGTGTGGGGAAGGAAAACCTCCCGCCCGAGGGCAGGTAAGCCAGCCCGGCCACGCTCCCAGCCCTGCGCCGCAGCCGAGGGTTCGTCAGGCACCACTTCCAGAGCTGCCATTAGATACCAGGTTGTGGATTATTTCTGGTGTCCAGGGCGGAACCAGGACTATGGGGATCTGCTAGTGCTGATGGAAGCACTGGAGATACGCCGAGGCAGTGTGAGCCAGACCAGGAAATACTGTTTGTCCCCATCCCCTCTTGCTTCAGGCACTGACCTGAAATAGTGACTGCAACTGCAGAGGATGATCTTGTGAGCATTGAATTCAACGCCATCCACACTGATGACTGCATCACAGAGTTTCCCTTCCTGGCAAAGCTCACTGAAGATGGCACAAGACGTAGGACTCATCTTCCTCTCCACGTTTGCGGACGAAGAGCCGGCGGGTGCCCAGCTGTCGCCCATGTTGCAGCCTGAGGCAGGGGAAGGTGCTTCTCCCTCAGGTGCTCCAGGGCTTTGTCCTGGCTCTCCAGCACCGTCTCAGAAACCTTGTCATGTCTGGTGGCACTGGAATATGCCCCACTGTGACATAACAGATATGGGGGGGCCCGGGATGGCTGTGACCCCCCTCCACAGGCCATGGGGTCCTGGGCCCCCCGGCCCCCTCGCTCCTTGGCTGCCCTCAGCCTCCGCTTAACCACAGCCCAGATGACCCTGGACCCTGGACCTACACCCTGTTGGTGGTTGTTCTGAGCAAAACCAGCCCTGTGATTCCCCTGCAACTGTTTAATCTTATTTACCCTGGGTCTAAATTTCCCCAGATGCCAGCACCAGCTGCCCTTGTCCCAGCTCACACAGGAGGAAGCTGAGGCCCAGGCTCGCTAATGCCAGCGATGAAGCCACAAATCCTCTGTCACTGCCGTGCCTGGGGCCAGTTTGGAGGGGGGCAAGGTGCTGCCTGGGGCCAAGGAGAGGAGAGCGGGGCAGGGGAGCCCTGTCCTGACTCCTCACTGGCTTCACTCATGGCCAACTGCTTCTCCTCTGCGTTTCATCGCGTCTGTCGGTACCACGGGTGCCAAGGAGGCACCTCTGGGGCGGTCTCAGAACTGGTAAACAGTTCGGGCTTTTTCATGTTACTGTTTTTTAAGTTAAATGAGTTTTGTAGTAGTGCTGGGGGAGGCCTGATGGCAAAAAGCCCTTGCTGTGTACTTTCGGTTTGGGTTTGGTCGGTTGGTTGGTTTTTTGTTTGTTGTTTTTTTTTTTTTTTTTTTTTTAATCTTTATCTCTCCTTGCTCTTTCGCCTTCCTGGCTCGGAGCGTGTTGCAGAGAAAACGCAACCGCAAGCGCCGGTCCCGGCCGGAGCCGCTTCGGGCGCGGGGCGAAGGTGCAGCCCCGGGCACCCCCGGGTACCCCCCCGGCACCCCTCGGCACCCCCGGGTACCCCCCCGGGCACCCCCGGGTACCCCCCCGGGCACCCCTCGGCACCCCCGGGTACCCCCCCCGGTACCCCCGGGTACCCCCCCGGCCCCGGCCCCGCCCCCGCGGCGGCTCCTCCCCGCGGCTGCGCGGCCCCGGCGCGGCTCGGCCCCGCCCGGCGCGGAACGGGCCGCGATGGTGAGTGGGGGCTCCGTGGGAATGCGGGGGGAATGCGAGGCAATGCGTGGGAATGCGGGGAAAATGCGTGGGGCTGCGTGGGAATGCGGGGCCGGGGAAGCAGCGGGCCTGGGAGGGGAAGGCTGGGGCCAGGCTGGCCCCGAGCGGGGGATGCGGGGACCTTGCGGGGGGGGGGGGGGGTGTCCCTGGGGAGGAGCAGGGCTGGGGAGCCTGACCCTGGGGAGGGGGAGACGGGGAACACGGAGAGCACAGCGTGGGTTGGAGGGCATCGGGGTCCCCCCGGGGCTGTGTGAGATCCCGGGGGTGTCCTGAGCTGGGGGTGTCTCTGCCGGCAGGTGCCTGAGCTGGAGAAAGCCACGGTCCGCATCCAGCAGCCGGAGCGGGTGCTGGGGATCATCCGGGCCATCAAGGAGCAGGGGATGAACAAGCTGCAGGTAGTGGCCCTGGCTGGGGCTGTGCTGGGGCTGGCCCAGCCGAGAGCGGGCGATGCGTCGCCGTCACGCTTGGTCCTTGGCTTCAGCTGCCCCCCCTTCCTCTGCTCCCCGGCCGTGCCCCGACTGCTCCTGGCCCCCGTGCAAGGAAACGCCTTCTGCACGTTTTGCAGCTGGAGGGGGAGAAGCCCCAGATGAGAGGGAGGACCGGGCTGTTTTTCCTGTCAAGTCCCAGGCTGGTGGCTCTCCCCAGATGGGCCTTTTTCTTCCCTGTTACGCAAGCTGTAAATACAAACCAATCCCCAAACACCCCCCCCCCTCCACCCACAGCAATCAATCGGCAGGATTAAGCCATTTGGTGCTGCTAAGAGTGCTGGGGCGGGAGGGGTGCTGGCCGTCTCACACGAGGACATCTCCTTCCCGGCTGCCAGGAGCGCAACCCCTGTCGCTGCTGTGCCCCGCGGCGAGTCTGACGGGACACGTGCCGGCGCTGGGTTTGCGTCCCCGCCGGCGGCAGCCCCCTCGGCTGGCTGTGGCAAAGGCAGAGTGCGCCGGGGCGCGCGCGGATTTGCTCTTCTCTCGCCTTCCAGGTCATTTCTGACTTCGACATGACGCTGAGTAGGTTTGGGTGCAACGGCCGACGCTGCCCCACTTCACACAGTGAGTTGAAGCTGGTGTTTTGCCAATTCTGCTGGTGTTCCGGGTGTGTGTTCCCCGTCTGCGGGGCTCCCGTTCCCCTCTGCCTCCTTTGCCCAGCCTGACCGCCCCATCCGTGCTCTCTCCCTGGGTGCAGCTCCGGGCCTCGGCCGCTTGCAGCAGCGGCTGCTGGCCCCCGGGCAGCCCGCAGCCCCCTGCAGAAGCCGCCTCCTGCTCTTGCTGCTTCTCCTCCCGACGCCCGCGGCGCGCTGGCGCTGGCGCTGGCGCTGGCGCTGCGCTCGCCCGGCTGAGCACGGCCCGATGCCCAGCGTGTGCTGCGGCCAGGCTGTGCGCGGGCCCCTGGGCCACACACGGCTCGTTCGGGGACCAGCCGGTGCTGGAGACGCAGGACAAGCCGCCTTTGGGAAGGGCTTTTGCTGTTTCTGGGCGAGAGCACTGGCGTTTTGTTGTCTTTACAGATATCCTTGATAACAGTCGTGTTATCAGCGAGGACGGCAAGAAGAAGGTGGGTGCTGGTTGTGAGGCGCTGCTGCTTGGTGCTGTGTTTTTCGTCCCTGTCGGCCGTCCCCGGGATGCTGTGCTGGCTCACGTGAGAGCTCTCCAAGCTGCTCCTTGCTGCCAGGACAGAGTGGGGCGAGTGTCCAGGCTGCATTTCAGCCAATGGTGATGGAAGGAGAAGTTAAAAAGGGGAATTTAATTTGCATGCTCAGCTGTGGGCGTTTTCAGTCTGATAAGAGGAGGAAGGGTGTATGTGTGTGCATCTGTGCGTGCAGTATTTGAAGCAAGGTGAGAGCCAGGCTGCGGGAGCGTTAACACTTCCTTCTGAGACCTCCAGAGTTGCTCAGAGTGAAGTTGCTTAGTGAAACCGCTTGGGTTGTGGTTTTCATTAAGAAGTGCCATACTTTGAAGGAGTTTAGAAACACTTTTTGTGTTGTTTTCAGTCTCTTTAGAAGTGATGCTCACTCTGTTCTCTTTCCATCCGTACAATGCTCCAGCTGAAAGATCTGCTGCACTATTACTATCCCATTGAAATCGATCCCAACCGGACCCTGGAAGAGAAACGTCCCCTCATGGTGGAGTGGTGAGTACTTGTGTGTGATGAGCTTGACCTCGTCCTGGCAACTTCTTGCCCCTGAGGACTCCAAGACACAAGGCTTGTACTGTCTCTAGGCTTGGCGGCAATGCTGGGAAGTTTTAGTTGTTATTTTTTCTGACTGCCTTAAGGTTGCTGCCCGAGCTCACTCTGCTGCCTTTCCCTAGGTGGACCAGGGCCCACGAGCTGCTGTCGCAGCAGAAGATCCAGAAGGGTGACATTGCCCAGATCGTCAGAGAGTCGGACGTGATGCTGAGGTACGGGCTTGGGGTTCAGCCTTTTCTCTCCTGCCACGGTGCAAGTCAGGTCTCTCCGCTTCCACCCCGATCCGCGCGCAGTCTCCACAGCGTGGCAGATGCAAAGCTCCCTTCCCGGGGCCGAGCTCTAATCCTGAACGAGCTGAAAGTCAGCACCGTGAGCCAGGGCCTGAGCTCGCTCCCTGCCCGCAGGCTGCTCCCCGCTCGGCTGGCTCCTTCCCACGCAGAAACTGCGTCCGTCTCCCCTGGGACTTGGGGTGGGCAGGGCAGGGTAGGGGGGCAGCATGCCGCTCCCCTCTTCCAGGAGAGATTTCTCTGCACGCACTGTAACTGTTGGCCATTGGCTCAGCATCAAATTTCACCCACAGCACAAAAATATTACGCTAAAACTTGCTGTTAAAGCTGGCCTTGGCCGCGATGGCACTAAAACTGGCTCAGGGAGCTTTGGATCGAATGAGCTGCCAGCCTCGGAGAGGAGATGGAACCGTATGTCCGGGTTTTTCATGAGCCCAGGTTTCCCATCTGCACAGAAATCGCGTCCTGGCAGACTGTTGCAGGTTCGCCTGGTTGTCCTCCCAGCCAGTCCGACCTGTTGCGCGTCTCTGCGTACAGCTCCTGCGTGGGCTGGCAGCACCCGCTCTCGTGGGTGTGCTGGGCCTGTGCCCCGTGTCGGGTGGGTGCGAGCGGCGGGTGCTGGGCAAATTGCTCGTGTGCTGCGTGTCCCCGGCAGCTCCTCGCTGGGTCGCTGCTCCCGGGAGGGGCCCGGGGCTCTGCTGCACACCCTTTGCTCGCGCAGTGAAGAAGCGCTGGTGCCACGCAGAGCTCGTGCTCTTTGCAGAGCTCACGCGTGCATTTCTGTTTGGGAGGGCCTGGGCAGAAACACGAGCCTCGCAGCTGGGCTGAGCGCGCTCCCAGCCCGCAGCACACCAGGCGCCTCGCTGGGAGCTGGTAATACAACACCGTGTAATGGACACTTCTGCTCTAGGGATGGATTCAATGAACTATTTGATCAGCTGCATAAGTACAACGTCCCCCTGTTCATCTTCTCTGCTGGCGTCGGTGACATCCTTGAAGAGATTATCCGTCAGGCCAACGTCTTCTACTCAAACGTCAACGTGGTGTCCAACTACATGGACTTTGATGATAACGTGAGTTTCCGCATCACGTATGTGTGATGAGGTTGCAGACAGGAGACCTGTTTGACTGGAATTGAGTTTAACACTGCTAGGTTAAAAGCTGCCTGTTAACATTTCTAAGTATTTGATCCCTGGAGCTGGAGCTGACCCTTTGCCAGGTCGTGGGAGGGCTCTAGAGGCTGGTCGTGGCCTCCCGCCCCGTTTGCTCTGCCTGCAGGGCTTGCAGCCTGCTGCCACCAGAGCAGCCCCCTGAGCGGCAGCGCTGGGGGGGTTAGAGGTTCCCCAGCCCTCACTGGGAGCTGGACCAGCAGTGGGAGCGAGCGGAGGACAGATGAGGTGGGCAGGCAGAGTGCTGAGCATCTGCTCGCAATCCCAGGGCCTCCTCGCCTTTCACACTTGCTTTTCGGTGGCAGAAAAGGCGCTGCCGTCGCTGTGTGCTCCGTCCTGGTGCAGGGCGAGGACAGAGTTCACTGACCACGGAGGTCTCTCCTGGTCTGAAGGCCAGACGTCCTTCCAAGCAGCTTGGAAGGCTTTTGTTGATGTCCTGAAGCCTGAAAAGTCCTAAGGCACATTAGAAAAATTGCACGTCTCTTACAATGAAGCTCTCTGTTCCCCCGGGTGGGGTGCTGGGACAGGCAGTCCTCGGCGGAGCATGGGCAGCGTGACAGTCCTGCCTTCTGCAAGGGCTCTGCTCTGCCCTGGGGCCCCCCTGACTGCGGCTTTCCGTGGCCCCCGACCAGCGCCAGGGCAGCGCAGAGCCTCAGCCAAGGTCTCCAGGAGCTCTGTCTTTTGGGTTTGTTCTCACCACCTGCGAAGGGCTTGCCCTGCAGAAGGGACTCCTGAGGACCGTCTCCCAGTGTGCTGTGGCCGCTGGGTTTCCAGACTCCTTGGGGGCGTCTCCGAGATGAGAGCTGGTGCCCTGTGAGCATCCCCCCCCCATTTGCCCATTCCAGAAAGGGCACTGAGGCTGTGGCACAGCGGAGGGGTTGCTGCGGGGTCAGTTGGTCTGTCCTGTTTGCACAGGGAGTCCTCACGCGCTTCAAGGGACCTCTCATCCACACCTACAACAAGAACAACAGCGTTTTGCAGGGTACGGAGTATTTCCAGCAGCTGAGCACTAGGACGAGCATCATCTTGCTGGGGGACTCCATGGGTGATCTGACCATGGCAGACGGCGTGCCCAGTGTGGAGAACATCCTCAAGATCGGCTTTCTCAATGACAAGGTGGGTGTGAGAAGCAGTCATCTTGCGTCCCTGCCAGCCCTCCCCAGGTGCGAAGCCTGAGGGGCAAGCGGCCGCCCAGGCGATTCGGGGGCTGTAAGAGGTTCGCACGAGCCCCCGTGGGGTGTGTGAGGGAGCTGGGGGGTGTCTGCCCGGCGCACCTGGGGCACTGTCAGGGGGGTTATTGACCCTCTTCTCGGTAGCATCAAGAGGTGCAGGGGCTGCGGGTGCAGCGCTGCCATTCTCAGCTGCTGGTGTTTCGTCCTCTCCCCTCTCTGCGGTCCCGGCGGCCGCGCTGCAGGTGGAAGAGCGGAGGGGGAAGTACCTGGATGCCTACGACATCGTGCTGGAGAGCGATGAGACACTGGACGTGGTCAACGGGATTCTCCGGTACATCCTTATCAAGACATGAGCTGGGAAGGCGCGTCCCAGCGGCGGCCCCTCGGCACGGCGCCTGGGCAGTGCGTGTCCTTCCCGTGGCAAAGCTGGAGTGGATCTTCCGGTACCTGCTGGGCTCCGTCCTGACGCGGGGCAGGCTCCCTGCCCTGGCTCTCGTGTCTTGTGCACATCCCGACCCCGCTCCCCTGCTCCGCTCAGCCCTGGAGCAGGAGGGGGGAGATGGAGGGAGCTTCTCCACTCCCTTTACCCCACCTGTGCCCAGCTCTGCTGCATCCCCCCCTCCCTGGGACTTCATCCCCCCTCGACTTCATCCCAGCCAGTGCCTGAGGCCACAACAAACCGTTCCATGTTTTGGGTAGAGATGTTCTGCCCTTGCTTCAGTGGCCAAGCGCAGAAACGGAGATCGTTCGCTGTAGCTTGAGGACAGACCTGGTTTAGATGGAAGCTGTTTAGTTTTACTGTGTCCCTGTCTAAGAAAACAAGTCTCTCTCTTGTCCTGTTTCCTGTGGGGTTCAGGGTGCCCGGGCTGAGCTCCGGTGGTGCCACCCACGGGTGGGCTGGGGTGGCCCTGCCAGGCGTAGCATCGCCCAGCCCCACGTCCCCCGCAGAGCCCCTGCAGCTCCCTGGCCCAGCCCTGCTGCCCCTCTTGCTCCGCTACAGCTCCTGCTGTAAAACCGGCTTTTGCAGCCATCCCCCCGGGCCCGCGGAGCTCTGGCGCTGCTGCACAAAGCGCCAAGGTGGTTTGTCTGCCGAGGGCTGGGCTGGGGGGGTTTGGGCGGCAGCGGGCTGGGCGCTTGGAGCGGCGCGTTTGCATCCACGAAAGGTGGGGATGGGGGAGAAGCCAGCGGCAGCACTTTGGGGTTTTTTTAAGGAGTATTTTAGCTGACCGTGTTTCTGTCTTAAAATGGTGGGCTGGTCCCGGGCTCTCAGAGCAGCAACAGAAAGCTTATTTCTCATTTCTGTGTAGCCTCTGGTAATGTAAGGAGTAAAGCTAGGACAGCCCTGAGTCAGCACGGGGCAAATTCCGAGCCTGCCGTGGGACACGGCTTGTGGGGCCCGTCCTGCTGCCCGCGGCGGTGGTGGCAGGAGCCTGGGCTGGTGCCGGGTGGGCTCTGGCGCGGCGCGGGGGGGCTGCTGGAGCTCCTGCCCTGCCGCCTTTGGACCAGCAAGCTCCGGGTTCAGCCCCCGCCGCCCTGCACGTGATGGATGAGCAAATGGGACTTCTGAAAGTGCGGGCTCCCTTCTCCTTGTCGACATAAAGCCGCTGGCTGAGTTTGTAGCCGGCCCTGGGGAGCCGCGCTGCTCCCCGGGGGTGGCTCCGGGTCCTCCCCATCCCGGCCCGAGCCCGCCGGCCGTCCCCGGGCGCTCCGCGCTGGAGCTGGAGCACAGCCCCTCTCTGCTGGAGGATCCAGGAGCGGAGTTCTGGTTTCTCTCCCTCCTGCCCAACCCAGCAGATGCTGGAGCCCAAAATCCCCCTGGGCCCCGCGCTCCCGGGGACGGGCGAGGCTTGTCTCTGCGCCGCTGCCCGGACACGCAGGAATGTTTCATGGCAAAGTAACCTGACACAACAGCAAACTCCTTGGAAACCAGTAGAAATTATTTATTTGGTGCAAGGTAGAAGTCACTGTTTGAGGGGTGCGCTGTGACCGTTCTTGCATTTCTTTTACCTCTGTCTGCAAGACACACTGCACAAAAGCTTTTAGAGCTGGTGGGAGGCGAGGGAGCTGTGCTAGTCGCAACTGGCAAACCTGAGAGCACCGAGTTAATTAGCTACTTTTAGGCATCAAAATAAAATCGGGCTGATTTTTCTCAATCACTGAGGGCTGTTGCTGCAGGCAGGGGAGGATGAGGATGGGGACGATGCTGCTCCCTGAGGGCCTGGGTGGGAGAGGGTTTCTGTTTTCCTTCTCCCAGCTGACAAGGGGTTTGCTGGGTCCCGTCCCTGCTGTCTTGGGGGGCTGAGGCTTTCTGGAATGGCAGATGCCCGTGAGGTATCGGGGGTCACCCTGGGAACCGGAGCCCCCTCCAGCCCCTTGTCCTGGGGAGGATGGCAGCGGGGAGCAGAGGCTGGGCCAGGAGCAGGGACTGGCACAGGAGGCTTCTCTTTATTTCTCCTCTCATTTAAAGAATTTTACATGTTTATATTAAAAAACCCCAAATAAATCCCAACCCTAAACTACAAAATGCTGCAGCAGAAGTGGAGGGGAAGCCCCCCTGCCTGCCTGCCCCCGGAGGCTGAAGCAGGACGTGCAGTCGCTGGCTGGGGAGGGGGATGCCTCTGCCCCGGCCCTTCGTGGGGAGCCGGGAGCAGGGGGGGGATGCGGGGTCTGGCAGCAGCGCGGGGCAGGGCAGGGTCCAGGGTCTGGCTCCACGGCAGAGGTATCGTCTGCAGAGCCGGAGCGCACGAGGGGACGGGCAGTGTGTGGAAACAGGGGTGCTGCTGTCCCCGTGGGGTATCGAGACTCCCAAGAACGTGGGTGTTCCCCACCTTCTTGCCTGGGTTTGTTAGCTGGGGGTTGGTGAGTTTTCCTGCCCAGGAGGAACACATCAAAACCCTCAGTTAAGTAATAGGGGGAAAAAAACCAAAACAAAACAACACAAAATACGCCCCCTCTCAGGGCTGGGCGGGGGCAGGTTCCCAAGGCAGCCGGTGGGGGAGACCGGCCATGGCACGGCCAGGACGAGTCCTGTCTCCAGCGGGGAGCCGGGTCCGCTCCTCAGAGCTCCTCATGGATCTTCTCCTGGTCCTCATCCGACTTCAGCTTCAGCTCCTCAGAGGTGATCTTCCCGTCCTGGTTGCGGTCCTGGTTCCTGAACATGTCGGCGATGACTTTCTCCGGGTCGGAGCTGGGCATGAGGCGGCCTTTCCCTTCTGCCACCTGGGTCTTGATGAAGGCAGAGAACTGCGGCGGGGAGAGGGGAGAGATGCGGCTTTGCTCCGCACGGCCAGGCCCATCAGGGAGCCCCACGGCCCGCGGCGAGGGCAGCAGCAAGGACGGGGCAGGGACAACGGGCTGCCCTCCGTGTCCCTGCCCGGTCCCAGCCCTGCCTGCATCCAGCAGCGACGTTCCAGGCTGGGGTGTTTTTCTTCAGGCTGCCAAGTGCCCCGGGGACAGCAGCGCCCTTCGGGTGCTGCTCCCTGGGGTGGGGTCCCCCGTGCCCCGCTGCCTCCCGCACCCCCTAAGCCCGTGGTCTGGCGGCTCTCGGGGCCCTCGCTCACCTCGTCGGCGGGGATCTCCCCGTCCTTGTTCAGGTCCATTTGCTCGTAGAGGTTTTCTGGCGGCTCCCCGTGCCAGATGAAGAGGTAGCCCTCGGGAACCCCCTCCTCCATGGAGATCAGCTCCACCTCGAAGCGGAGCACGGCGCTGCCTGGCACCCCCCGGGCTGAAAAAACAAGCGGAGGCTGCTGCACGGCGGGGGAGCTCAGCAAAGCGTTGGCCCTTGATGGGCAAAAGCCTCCCAGCCCCGAGCTGGGGCGAGGGGTGGAAGGAGCCCAGCAGCGGTCCAGCCAGGCAGAACCCCCTGTTGCACTGCCCGGGCTGCCACACGCCGCCCCCCTACCTCCGCTCTCGCCGTGGCCCAGGTGGGGGGGGATGATGAGCACCCGCCTCTCCCCCGCGCACATGTTGAGGAGGCCACTGTTCAGGCCCTCAATCACCTTGTTGGCCCCCAAAGTCACCTCCTGGGGCTTCTCGTAGTCGTGGCTGCAGGAGGCACAGGGAAAACCACGCAGCTGAGAAAACCCCTCGGACACAGTGGGCAGCCCCCCATGCCCCCACATCCCACGCCCTCCGTCCTGCCACGCCCTGAAGTTCCGCGCCCACCATGCCACCACACCCCAGAACCCTGCACCACCCGTCCCGCCGCACCCCCAAATCCTGCACCCTCCGCCCCGCCACACAATCCCTGTGGCCCCACGGCCGATGCTCCGGTGCCGCCCGTTGCAAAGAGCTGATGCTCCCAGCGCTGCTCCGGTGCCCGCCCACCCCCCGGCCCAGCGCCTGCCAGGATTTGGCCCAGTGAAGGGCAGGAACGCTCGGGGCAGCCCGCGAGCGAGCACGCACGAGGAGAAGAGCTTGGTGCCGTCCAGCAAGGAGCAGTTGTAGTGGTAGCGGACAAAGTCTCTGTCCCGGGTGGTGACGTTGCAGCCCTCGGGCCGGTGCACGGTCTCGATCTCCACCGGGTCCGCGGGGTTGTGGAAGTCGATGATGTGGACGTCAAAGATGAGCACGGCTGAGCCGGGAATTTTGTTCCCTGGAAGAGGAGGATGAGAAGAGCTGCTGGAACACCGAGGGGCCGGTCACGCCTTTCCCAGCCCGTGTGCCGGCGCACGGGGCTGGAGGAGGGGACGCCGCAGGTGCAGGCACGCCAGACCCCCCGGGCTGCCCTTTACCTGCTCCGTTCTCCCCGTAGGCCAGGTGGGGGGGGATGACCACCCGCCGCCTCTCCCCCATGCAGACCCCTTGCAGGCCCTGGTCCATGCCGGGGATGATGTAGCCCTTCCCGATGTAGGTGTCGTAGGTGTGATTGCGGGAGTAGCTGCAGCGAGAGAAGCCGCCGTGCAGGAGAGCCTGGCCCCTCAAACCCCCCCACCCCTGCACCCCAACCCGCACCCCTTCCCCCAGCCCCTGCCGTGCTCCCCCAAGAGCCAAACCTTGCTCCTAGGGATGCAGCAAACACTCATGGTCTTTTTTAGCCTATTTCATGCCCATGACCACCCCCTCCCCCACCTCCCCCCCCAATTCTCCAGCCTCTCCTCGCAGCTGGCTGCTGAGCACGGGGCAGGAGGGGACATCAGGGGGTCTCCCCACTCGGCCGCTCCCCTCCCCACACCTGGAGTCGAAGAGCGTCCCGTCCATCAGCGTGCCGTTGTAGTGGTAGCGGACAAAGTCCCCGGTCACAGCCCTGCGCTTGCAGGACTCGGGCACCTCCAGGTGCTCCAGGAAGACGCCGTCCTTGGGGTTGTGGAAGTCCACCAGCAGCACGCTGAACACCAGCGACGCCTGCGGTGGGATCGCGGTCCCTGGGGAGGGCGCACGGGTCAGCCCGGACAAGGGTCCTGGGGCACTGTGGGGGGCTCTGCACGGAGCTGGGCAGGACGGGGAGATGCCTGACTCACCGTAGCCCTTCTCCCCGTAGGCCAGGAACGGGGGGATGACGATGCTCCTCTTCTCCCCCGCGCACATGCCCAGCAGCCCCTGGTCCATGCCCTTGATCAGCCAGCCGGTGCCCACGTAGGTGTCGTAGGTGCTGTCCTTGCTGTAGCTGGTGGGGAGGAACGAGGGGGGGATGGTTCCAGGGCCACACCAGCTCCCCCAGCCCGTGCAGTGCCACGCAGGGGCTGGTTTGGGGGGTCAGGGAGCTGTGCCAGCCCTGCCGGGGTGTGGGGAGGGAGAGCACGGAGGGGCTCCCCTGGCTGGGGTGCAGCACGGGACCCCATGTCCTGCCACAGGCTGGTGTCCCCTGGTCCCTGCCGTCCCCAGTGCCCCCAGCCCCGAGGCGGGGAGCATCCCAGTGCCAGTGCCCCGTACCTGGAGTCGAAGGGAGTGCCATCCAGCAGCGTGCCATTGTAGTGGTACCGCACGAAGTCCGAGCTCTCCACCGTGCGGTTGCAGCGCTCCGGTTTGGACAGGGTGGTGATCTGCAGCTTGTCATCCTTGTTCCAGATGTCCAGCATGATGACGTCAAAGTACAAGGTGGCATCCGGGGGTATCAGCCCCGCTGAAGGGGTGGCAGCGAGGACAGAGCACCTTAGGTGGGACCAGCACCGAGCCCAGGCGAGCTGAGGGGCTCTGACCCCAAAGCCCTCCTGAGCCCACTGCGGCCTGGGGCTGCCGGCCACCCGCGCCAGCCCCCGGGGAAGCAGCGGAGCCCGCGGGGGGGGCAGGACCCCTCATTCCTGGGGAAGCCCTGCTTAGGCACCGCTCGCCCTGGCGATGGAGCTGGGCACCAGACCCCTGTCCCTGCTAACGCCAGCCCTGGGGGGTTTGCTCCCGCCGTCCCCCCGCCGTGCCGCGGCCCCTTACCCACGCCGATGCTGCCGTAGCCCAGGTGGGGGGGCACGATGAGGTGACGCCGCTCGTTCACGCACATGCCCTGCAGCCCCCGGTCCATGCCGGTGATCAGCCGCCCAACGCCCACCACGCCGGCCACCGTGGCCCCTCGGTCGTAGCTGGGGTGAAGGGACAGACCCGTCAGTGGTGCGGCAAAGGGCGAAGCCCCCGAAGCTGCCGGTGCTGGGGGTGCTCGATGCCAGCGCCGAGGGCTCGGGGCGGATCCAGAGCCAAACCACGGACCCTGTGAACACCGAGGGACGGCGCGGGAGCAGAGCGGGGGGCCGGGGCTGCCCCCTCCCCAGGGGTGCAGGTAACCCACCGCAGCCAGCGGGTCCCTGTGTGCAGGCAGAGCCCACAGCTCAAGCAACATGGATCCTGACGGGCTCAATCCTGCACTGCCTGGGGTGGAGCTGCCTCCAGCAGCACCAGTCCAGGGCTCTGGCCTCACCCTGCACGCCCAGCACCCTGGAGGCCGGGGAATGCAGGTCTGGCCCTCTGGGTGCAAAGGAGGTGGGTGATGCTTTCAGCCGGGACCAAACCCACCAACACCCAACGCCCACCCCAGGTCTCACCAGGCCAGCTGGGCTGGGGACCGGCAGCTCCCCGGCTTTCTGCTGCTTCCAAATCATTTCGCATACGGCACATTTGGAGCTTTATGCAGCAAGGAGGAGAGAAGACATCCCAAGCCTCATTTTTAAACTGAAAATTTGTTTTTATTTTTAAATCCAAGAAGCATCTGGGGCCATTTCAGATAAATTGGAATCCTTCATCCCCTTTAACGTGCAGCTGATGCTTTCTCCCGGCAGCACGCTGCAGTCGTCAGGACAAGGAATTATTTCAGCAGTGAATGTCCCAAGGTTCCCCTTGCATCTGGGGCACGCAGCTCAGCTACTTTTTCCCCGATTCATGCTCGCAAGAAAGATAACTGGAGCAGAATCCCTTTGATTGCCAGGTCTCTGAAAAATGCCCATCTGGAAAGTTTTTGTTCCTACACAGGGCTGGGGCTGAGCGCCAGCATTAGCCCAGGTTGTTTCTGTCCTTTTGCCGTGTCCCCGATTCCCCCCCTGCGCACGGTGGTGCAAATCAGGGACTGCACCAACATAACCCTGATTTATAGCCAGCGTGAGCGGAGCAGGATCGGTGCACGGGCCGAGGAAAACTAAGCACGGGCAGAGCGAAGCCCCGGCGATAATGAACGGGTTTTGCTGCTGCCACGTTTCAAAATGCTTGAAGTGTTTCCCTGCCCATGCAGCACATGCAGATACATGTTCGGAGTGCAAAATGTCTCACTTAGGGCCAAATCCTGCCCGTGCCCGAGCTGGGCTGCCCCGCACCCTGCAGCGCCCCGGGGCTGAGGGCGCGGGATCCCCCCGGGCTCTGCAGGCTCCCGGGGGGGGGGGGGGGGTGATGCCAAACCCGGGGGTGCGCTCGGGGCCCCGGGCTGACCCGTGCACGGGCTCCCCGGGCTCCCCGGGCTCCCCCCTCGCCCCCAGCCCCCGGCAGCAGCCCCGCGGGGGGGGGAGGCATGCAGGGCCCGGCCGCGGGAACCGCCGAGGGCGATACCTGGAGTCAAACTTTTTGCCATCTTTAAAGGTCCCATTGTAGTGGTAGCGAATGAAATCCCCCATCTGGACTTCCCGCAGGCAGATTTTGGGGATATAGTATCTGTCTATCACCACGTCTTCCAGGGGGCCGGGGTCGCCCAGCGCCGGGGCCCCCAGGATGCCGAGGAGGAGGAGGAGGAGGAGGAAGCGGCCGGGGGCCATGGCGCGGGCGGCTGGAGCCGGCGGGAGCGCGGCGGGGGGAGGCGGGAGGAGGGGCCGTGGGCCGCCCCCACCCGCGGGCCGTGGGCCCGGCCCGAGCTGGAATTTCTGTACACGTGGACGGCGAGTGGCCCCACGGCATCGCCGGGGCAGTTCCCCTGCGTGGGGGGCGGCGGGGCCGGGCGGGGCGACTCACAGCGGGAAAGCTCCACGTCAGGAGGGATTTTTTTTTTTTTCTCTCTCTCTCTCTTTTTTTTTTTTTTTTTTTTTTTTTTTTTTAATGGGCCGTTCCTTCTGCGAAGGAAATAGCTGAGGAGAGCTATTTGGGAGTGAGTTTGTGCAGCTGGAGGCCCCGTCCCGCCCCTCTCGGCCGGGTCCTAGCGCTGCTCCCCCCGGGTCTCCCCCCCAGTGTCCGCCCCCGCGGCCCAGGGAGCTGCTGCTCAGCTCGTAGCAAGTCGGCAGAGCAAATACAAGGAATTAAGTGTTTTAATAACATCTACTGCTCTTCAATCTGCTGCCGACTGATCTTTTACTGAATGGCGATGATTAAAAATGTGAAACTACCCCTCGAACAGTCTTTCCCAGATAGGAGCAGCACCAGACACACACGTCCGTGTTGCCCCCACATCCCTGCTCCCCCAAAAGACGGGCACCGTGGTAAGAGCCCTTGGCAAGCCCCAGGTGGGAAACAGGACAGACCATAAACCCAACCCGACCGCGGCTCCTCTGAGGCACAGCGCTGCTGGTGAGAGCAAACGCTCAAGCAAAGCGCTACCGGCCCCCTCAAGCCCGAGCTCGGGGTGCTCTGCAGCTCCCCAATGCCCCGTGCTGGGGCCGAGCACCCTCAGCACCGCCCAGAGGAGCTCGGGGGGACTCGGGTCACCCCCCGTGGCACAGTGGGCTCAGGGCCCGATGCTGGGGCAAGCGAGCGCTTACTTAGGGGTGATGGCACCCCAGGCTGCGTGCGATCGAGCAGCTCGTTGGCGAGGAGGTGCTGGGCGCTGCTGACGGGCTCTGCTCCCCAGGAAGAAACCTCAGCAGCGTCCCGGCTCCCGCCCCGCGCTGTGACATCCCTCAGGGCCACTGTCCAGCCGGCAACTGAGCGCCAGGCTTGGGCTGGGGCCAGTGTGGCCGTGCCGAGGCCTGGCGTGGTGCAGGGCGTGCGGCCTCCGGTTTGGCACCAGCCGGCAGCGAGCCCAGCTCCGGGCCCAGCTCCGGGCTGGGGGGTCTGGCCAGGTGCCCGCGTGGCACTGAGCGTACCCCGGGGTGCCCCGGGGCTGTGGCACAGGGCGCACCCCAGCACCCCGCGCTCTGCAGCGTGTGGCCCCGAGCGCATCCTTCAGCGCCCGCAGCGTGGGGTGCACCCTGAGAGTGCGAGGCAAGGAGTGACCCCTCCCGCGGCGTGGGGCGTGGAGTGACAGACACCCCCCCCTCCCGCGGCGTGGGGCACCGAGCACCCTCCCACACACACCCCCCAGCACTCCCCGTTCTGCAGCGTGGGGCCCCGAGCGCATCCTTCAGCGCCCGCAGCGTGGGGTGCACCCTGAGAGTGCGAGGCAAGGAGTGACCCCTCCCGCGGCGTGGGGCGTGGAGTGACAGACACCCCCCCCTCCCGCGGCGTGGGGCACCGAGCACCCTCCCACACACACCCCCCAGCACTCCCCGTTCTGCAGCGTGGGGCCCCGAGCGCATCCTTCAGCGCCCGCAGCGTGGGGTGCACCCTGAGAGTGCGAGGCAAGGAGTGACCCCTCCCGCGGCGTGGGGCGTGGAGTGACAGACACCCCCCCCTCCCGCGGCGTGGGGCACCGAGCACCCTCCCACACACACCCCCCAGCACTCCCCGTTCTGCAGCATGGGGCCCCGAGCACATCCTCCGGTGCCCGCAGCGTGGGGTGCACCCTGAGAGTGCGAGGCAAGGAGTGACCCCTCCCGCGGCGTGGGGTGTGGAGTGACAGACACCCCCCCCTCCCGCGGCGTGGGGCACCGAGCACCCTCCCACACACACCCCCCAGCACTCCCCGTTCTGCAGCGTGGGGCCCCGAGCGCATCCTCGGGTGCCCGCAGCGTGGGGTGCACCCTGAGAGCGCGGGGCGTGGAGTGACACCCCCCCCCCACACCCCCCCCCCGCGGCGTGGGGCACCAGGCGGCACCGAGCACCACCCCAGCGCACCCCGCGGGCGCTGCGCCAGCCGCGCAGAGCCGCACTAAGACCCTGCGCGCCCGCCCGCGCACCGCCCCTTCCCCGCCGCCCGCCCCCTGCGCGGAGCGGTGCGCGGCGCTGCGCGGAGCGGTGCGCGGCGGCGGCGGCGGGGATGGGCGGCGCGGCGCTGGCGCTGGTGCTGGCGGCGGGGCTGTGCGCGGCGCAGTACGAGGAGTACAGCGTGCGCGGGTTTCCCGCGGCCGCGCTGGAGCCGCTGCAGCGCGCCTACGCGCGGGCGCTGGCGCAGTACGCGGGCGCGCAGTGGGCGGAGAGCGCCCGGGCGCTGGAGGCCAGCCTGCGCCTCCACCGCCTGCTGCGCGACAGCGAGGCGCATTGCCACCGCCGCTGCGCCGCGCCCGCGGAGGGAGGCCCCGCGGAGGAGCCCCCCGCGGAAGGGGACCCCGCGGCGTGGGAGTGGGAGCAGGAGATGCAGCTCTTCGGGCGGCTGCTGCGCCGCGCCGGCTGCCTGCGCGCCTGCAAGCGCGACCTGCCCGTCTTCCAGCTGCGCTACCCCCCCGCGCAAACGCTGCGCGATTTCCAGCGCCGCCTGCCCTACCAGTACCTGCACTACGCGCTCTTCAAGGTGAGGCGGCGCAAATGCCGCGCAACGTGGCTGGGGGCGGTGGGGGGGTGTGTGTGTGTGGAGAAGAAGTGGGGGGGATTCCCGTACCTCTGTCCTTGCACCCCTCTGATCTGTGCCTCCTCTCGTACCCGCGCCCCTCCACGCTGTCCCCCCCATCGGGCACACCCCCATCCTGTACCCTCACCCTGCGCCCCTCACCCTGTACCTCCTCTTCCACGCCCCGTCCTCCATCCCCACCCTGTGCCCCCATCTTACACCACCAGCCTGCACCCCCTGCTCTGCACCCCCTGAACCCTGCTCCCCTCTATCCTGCACCTGGCTGTGCTTTCCCGTCCCGCACCCCCCTTCCCTCACTCCCCATCTGGCATCTCCCCCCCCCCCCCCGGCTCCTCCATCCTGCCCCTGCGCCGCGGCACGTCACCATCATCTGGGATGCATCAGGCAGGACGTGAGGGGTGCGCCTGGGACTGGGGGCCCCCGCCATTGTGTCCCCCCACCCCACCCTGTGTTGCCCTGGTCCCCCAAGGTGCCCCTCGGTGGGCAGAGCGTTGTCTGGGGAGGGGGACGCAGGGGCTGCCCCAGCCAAGGGGCCTGAGCTGGCGAGTCCAGTGTCACTGTCATTGCTGGGGGGACACGGGTCTGGCTGCTCGTCAGGGAGGAGTGCTTGCTCGGGCTCACGGTGCAGATGCGGAGGGAGGTTTCATCAGGCATCGATTGCCCCAGGGTGACTCTCCTTTGGCCTGAGCTGCTCTGGCAGGGGACAGTCCCCTCCCCGGGCCCCGGTGCTGGTCGGGGTCCTGAGCTGCGCCACTGGCCGGCTGCCAGTGCGGATGCTGCTGTAGCACTTAGTGCTGCCGCCCCTCTCGCCTGGCAGTGCCGAGGGACAGCCTGGCCGAGCTCCTTAATGCCTTTTCCTCCTGCTTGCTCTGGCCAAAACCCATTCCAAGGATGGTTCGTCCAACCCCCCCAATCTCGCTCCCCTGAAGTTGCAACCTGAGAGCTCATAAAGCAGCAGGGGAGTGGGGCGGCTCGCCCGGGCTGGTCCCAGTGCCCAGGGAGAGCGGATGCGTGATCAAAGCCACAGCACGTGGATCAAACCCACAGCACGTGGATCACTCCTGGCTGGATGTGAGGGACCGCGAGGGGCCAAGTTGTCCCCGTGCCCACCACGGGCACAGAGGGGGAGGTCGGGGTGGCTGGATTTCTCTGTGTTGTCCGTGGTCCCAGATCCTGTCTGTCCATGGCTGCCAGCTCGGGGATGGCACTGCGGGTGCCGGGCTGTCCCCTCCCGAGGACCGGCCTTCTGCCCCGCAGCCCCGGGGTCTGGCTGGGTGCTGAGCACCCGCAGCCACAGCGTCGGCCCCGGCTGCTCCCGCAGCAGGCTGCTGCACCAGCCCTTCCTCCCTCCCCAGTCAAATAAAATCGAGAAAGCGGTGTCTGCTGCCCACACCTTCCTGCAGAAGAACCCCAAGCATGAGATGACCTTGAAGTACCTGAACTATTACAGGACAATGCTGGACGTGGATGAATACCTGGTCGACCTGGAGGCTCAGCCGTACGAGGTGAGGAGGGGACGGGGCTGGGGCAGGAGAGGGGCTCCCCAGGGCTCGGTGTGTGCCGGCCGAACCCCGAGGGAAGCAGCTCTCCCTCACCGAGCCCTGGTCGCTCACCTCCTGCCCCCAAAAAAGCATCCTGGGGGGCCCGTGCTGCGGATGGAGCTGCCTCGGGGGTGGAGCAGGCCAGGTCGGTGCTGCTGGTGGGTGCCCGGCACGGAGGTGAGCGGCACCCGCTTGGTCCCCGGCAGCCGATATTCGTGCGGTCGGTGAAGCTCTACAACAACGGGGATTTCCGGAGCAGCGCGGCCGACATGGAGCAGGCGCTGGCCGAGTACTACAAGGCGTACGAGGACTGCCTGGCCGGCTGCGAGGGCGCCTACGAGCTGCAGGAGTTCAAGGACTTCTACCCCGCTATCGCAGGTGGGCGGGCGGGGGGCCGGGGGCCAGCAGGCTCGGGGGGGGGACACCGGGAGCCGATGGGTCACAGCGCCTGGTGCCTCCCCCCCAGACCACTTTGTGAGCGTGCTGCAGTGCAAGGTGGACTGTGAGACCGAGCTCACTCCCAACGTGGGCGGCTACTTCGTGGAGAAGTTTGTGGCCACCATGTACCACTACCTGCAGTTCGCCTACTACAAGCGTGAGTGCCGGCGGGCGCAGGGGACTGTGCCCCTGGGGCACCCCGGGGTGCTGCGGGACCCCGGGCAGGGTGTCACCCCCCACGTCACCCCCTGCTGCTCCCGGCAGTGAACGACGTGCGGGACGCGGTGCGCAGCGTCTCCAGCTACATGCTCTTCGACCCGGGCGACGCTGTGATGCAGCAGAACCTGGTCTACTACCGCTTCCACCGCGAGCGCTGGCGCCTGCAGGAGGAGGACTTCGAGCCGCGGCCGGTGAGGACCCCCCAGCCCCCCTGTCCCATGGCTCTGCCAGCAGTGACGGGGCTGACACGGCCCCCGCTCCCCCCCCCCCCGTGCCCAGGAAGCCGTGAGCTACCACAACCGGACGGCCGCCCAGAAGAAGATGCTGGACTTTGCCAGGCAGTACCTGCAGGCTGACGATGAGGTAAACGTGGGGGCAGCCGGGCGCTTTTGGGGGTGCCAGGTGGTGTGGGTGGGTGCTGCGGGGACCCCGGGGCAGGGCCCTTCCTCGGGCGGGGGGTTTGACCCCCAAACCAGCCCCGGTGAAGAGGCTGCAGACGGGGCTGCTGAGCCCCACTGCCTCCTCCTGCCCGTCCCGTGCTGCAGATGGAGGTGGATGGCGGCGAGGGGCCGGAGGCGCGGGACCTGCCCTCCGACAGCGAGTTTGAGGGCGAAGGCGACTATGAGGAGGGCTTCTTCGCAGAGTGGTGGCAGGAGCCCAAGACCAAGGGGGACAAAGCTGACCAAGGTTCCTGCCGCTGGGGCTGGGGGCTGTGCAGCGGGGTGGGGGTGGCTGCTGCCCGCACCCCGGTGCCACCGAGCCCCCCTTGTTTGCAGAGACCCTGCGATGAGCCCGACGGAGCCGGACGGTGGTGGCCCTGCGATGCCATCCTGGGGACGCCGGGCTTCGAGCTCCTGCCAGCTGCCGCACAGAAGCTTGGGCTGGCGGGGAAGGGCTGATCCTGCCCGGTGCCCAGCGGCAGGGCTGCCTTTGCCGTCTGGACATCCGCCGCCCTGAGCGCAGCCCGATTCTCACCGGCACCGCACCGGCACTGCCGAGCCTCCCTGCCTGCCCAGGAGCTCCCCGGGGCCCCCTCTGTCCCCAGTGTCCCCAGGAGCCCTGGCCAGTGGCGGTGCCCCGCAGCACCGGGGTTTACCGTGTCCCTCAGCTCCTCCCCAGGACCTGTGGACGGTGCGTCAGGATCGACCCTCGCGTTGTCTTGAGGGGTTCGGGGGGCTGCCCCACCTCTGGGAGCAATGCATGGTGCTGCTGGAGCCGGGCGGGTGCGCTGGTCCTGCCCCTCCCGGGGCTCCCCGCCTGCCTGCCAGCCCCCAGAGCCCGGGGTCCCTTCGGACCCCACGGCCGGTGCTACCGCGGGGCTCAGGGGGTGCTGGTGTCCCTGTGCTGTGGCGGGGCTGCAGCCTGGCGAGGCTGCGTTGCCCATGCCCTGCGTGTGCCTTGAATTTTCGCCACACCAGCCCTCTGTAGCCTTAAGCTCCGTTAATTTAATACTTCCCGACTTTTTTTTTTTTTTTTTTTTTTCTGTATTTACTGGTGCTGAACTTTTAATAAAATCCGGACCGGTCTTTTCACGGCTGTCTCTGCCTTGGGGCTCCCTGGGGCTGGGGCATGCTGCTGCTGCAGGAGCTGGGCGCTTGGGGTGGGAGAGGCCCTGCCATGGGAGGGGGAGGGTCGGGTTATGGGGCTGGATGGCCCCGTAAAGCGGGGGAGACCCCCAAGGGGGGCTGGAGGAGGCTTGTGGGGCTGGGGAACCTTCTGGGCTGTGAGAGCAGCCAGGCTCTCGTAGGGCAGCGGAGGTCCCTGAGGGCGCCATGGCTACCCTGGGACCTTTACGGGGATGCGTGACCACCCCGTTATGCAGGGGAGGCTGCCAGGTGGCACGGGGGGGCTGTGGGGGGGCTGTGGGGCAGCATGCCTCACCCCGGTACAGCTGTTCGGGGTGTGATGTGCATCAGCTGCTGATTGTTTTGGGGGGGTGCATCCCCCCGGCACGGGTCCTTGGGGGTGGTGCTGGTGCAGGGTGTCAGGGTGGGACGACCCCCCCCCCCCATCCCGCCGGCGTCAGGGCGTTCCGGAGCCCGTCCCGGAGGCCGCTGTCGGTGCTGACGAGCCCGCGCCGGCCTCGCTCCTCCCCGCCACGCCGGGCCCGTTCCGGCTCCCCGTGGAAATTGGCTGCGAGGACTGAAACCGAGAGGCTGAATCACGGCGTTGGCCCCGGGGGAGGGAAGGGAAGGGAAGGGAAGGCAGGGGGCGGCGGGGAGGCTGCCAGCACCCCACCCTGCCCTGCCCCGGAGCTCCCATTTACCAGGGCATTCCCAGCGCTGCCCACCCTGCGCAGGGCACTGGGCTGGGGGACAGGGCTGAGCCCCCAGACCCGCGGGCAGGGCTCGGGGCTGGGGGCAGAGTTAAGGGGAGGCGGCGGCGGGAGCGTCCCGTTGCACCCCTCCGCGCGGCAGGGCTGTCCTGTCCCTCGGGAGGAGCGGGGTTTGTCACCGATGGGTCACGGCCACCCTGGGGAGGGGAGCGACAGCCCGGTGGGGTGTGGCCGGTGGTGCTGGAGCCCGGCTCGGCGGGAAGCACCCTCAGCCCAGCGCGCTGGCGTCGCGGCCGGGGGGGGGCAAAGGCTTGTTTATCTCCCCCACAAGCCAGGTGAGGGTGGCACAGGGCCCACGGAGCCTCCGCCCTGCCCCGACACGCGCCTGGGCACCGCGTCCCCTCGCCACCCCCAGACTCACATGGGGACTCGCAGCTCCTCGCAGCCCCGGGCCGGGGTCCCCCCGGAGTGGCGGAGTGACCCCAGAAGTGGCCAGGGCTGCGAGCGGCCCGGCAGAGCCGGGTTGCGGGGAGGTGCTGGGGTGCAGATGTGGGGTGCAGGGGTGTGAGCAGGGATACGGAGGTGGGAAGCGGGTTAACGCCACGGAGGCAGCACTGTGCGTCCCCGACTCCCCTGACCTTGACCGAGAAGGAACATAAATGAGGTTTTTGATGGTCATCTTGGCCGTGCCGTGCCGTGCCGTGCCGTGTGCCCCTTTGCTCCTCATGCTGGGAGAGCCCTCGCTGTGCTCTGGATCCCCCGCTCTGCGCACACCAACGAAATCCCATTTTCTTGCCGGGGCGCTGGAAGCTCCGTCTCCCACCTTTCTCCGGAGCTGCGATTCCCCGGCGGGGCCCTGGGCAGGGCGCTGCATGGGGGCCGGGGGGGTGCAGGATGCGTCCCCTCACCCCCGCACGGGGCAGAGCCCTCCCGCTCCCCAGATCCGGGGATCCCCACCGTGGGCTGGGACGTGCCCCGGTGCCGGGTGCTCGTTGGTGACTTGGGCGCCGGGTGACGGAGGCTTCACCCAGGGCCGGGGGGAGCGGGTGAGCCGGGCCGTGGCGGCAGCACCCGGCTGGACCAGTCTGGCCGGGGACTGGGGTGACGCAGGCTGCCGTCAGCTGCCCCAGCCCTTCCCCAGCGCCTCTTGCTGCCGCTGCTGGGCTCCTGCCTCAGTTTCCCCACCCGGTGTGAAGCTCCTTCCCAGGGCCAGGGGATGTTCCAGGGCCGCTCCCTCCCCCCGCTACCAGTCCTGTGCCCGGGCACCCCTCGATGCAGACACCCTAAACGACGCGGGAGGCAGAGGTGGCCCACGCGGGGTCCACGCGTGACGCCCCGAGGGCCCCGATGGCGGCCTGGCCAAGTGGGGGGCGGCAGGGCAGGGGGGGGTTGGGGGTGCAGCCCCCAGTCCCCTGCCCAAGGCCCTGCACCCCACTCCCCCCCTGGCCGGGTGCTGGCCGCACGGCAGCGCTGCAGCCCACCGCGAGACCGCGCTGTCCGCAGCCCACGGGTGACGCCGGAGGTGTGTGGGGGTGAAGGTGGGCGCTGCCCGTGGGAGGGACACACACTCGGGGGCGAGGCCGTGGGGGGCCCGAGCTCCCTCGCAGGGGTCCCGGCACCCCCACGCCTGCCCTGGGGGGGGGTGTCTCTGCCCCTCACGCACACACCGTGGCGTGGGAGGGCTCCCTGCGCCCCACGCACCCGCGGGGGTGCCCCCGCCCTGCCCAGGTACGTCCCGGCCACGCCCCTTGCCCAGGGGTGGGGCCCCGGCCACGCCCAGTGACGTCACCCAGGTGGTCCCCCTCGCGGTCGCGCCCTTCCCCGCCCGCCGCCGCGCCCCGCCCACCCCCGCCCCGCTGTCCAATCGTCTGCCGGCGGAGGGCGGGGCGGCCGCGCCCCCGCCAATGGAGAGCGGATAAACACGTCCGGCGGGGGCGGTGCCCGGCCGGCCGCGGGATTGACGGGCGTGCCGGTGGCCCAATAGCGTCCCGGCGGCGCGGGGGGAGGCGGGGCGGGGCGCGGGGCGCTGCTCGCCTTTTGTTCGGGCAGGAGCGGGGCGGGCGGCAGTGCCCGCGCAGGGGAGCGCCGCGCAGGTGAGCGGGGCCGGGCCGGGGGGCTGCGGGCGGCCGGGGGGCCTGGGCGGGCAGCGTCGGCCGCCCCGGGACCGTCCCGTCCCGGCGGAGCCCCGACTCGTCCCGCGTGGGACCGGGGCCAGCGCCGCGGGGGACGGGGCAGCGGAGCGCAGCCTCGCCTTGCGCGGATCCGGGCGGGCGGGTCCCCGCGGGTCGGCCGGGCGGTCCCGGTTCCCCGCTCCCCTCCCGGCGCTGCGGGAGAGAGTTTGCGAGTGGGTCCCGACTCGGTGTCCGGCGGCGGCTTCGGCCCCGGCACCGCCCGGGCGCGTTCGGAGTCGCGGCTCCACGGGCGAGGCGTCGGGGCGGTGGCGGGGCTGCGGGCGAGGCCTTGGCATGCTGCTCGCCCAGGTGGCCGTGGGGCTCTTGCGTAACGCGTGGCTGCTGGGTGCCACGGCTGCCGTGCCTGAGTCACACCTGACGGCCGTGTGCTGCCGCCGCGCCCACTCGAGGCCGCCCCGGGGGCTGCCCCGCACCCGCAGCCCGCTTTGCAAAGCGCTCTCCCGGGCTGCCGTGGCTGGGGGGGCCGAGCAAGGCTCGGGGCGTCCCGGTGTCACCCCGCCAGCCCCACCGAGGGCCGGGGCAGCCCCGGGCACCGCTCTGCTCGGGGGGGGGGGGACCCCGGTGAGCCCCGCGAGCAGCAGGCGGATATCCGCGCAGGAAAACGGGGCGGGGGGGGGAGCGAAACTCGGCTTTTTGTCTGGTGTTTGCAGAGGAGAGAGCACTCTAATTGTGTTAGTCGAGTGATTAGCTTAATTAATCAGGTTTACAGCACAGATGAAAGGATAATGCTGAAACGTTGCTGGGAGTTGCCCGGAGAGGGAAGACGTAGGCTGTTGTACGAGCAACTTGGGGAGACGTTTGCGCTGTGAGCAGCGTGAAGGGCAGCGGCCTGCCGGGGCTGGTCCCGGGGGACCCACACCGCTGTCGTGCCTGCACGCGTGTGAAGGCAGCAGCCTGTGCCCACTCTTGACAGGCTGCAGCGTCCTTGCACCCCCCCGACCTTCCTGCCATGCTGTCGGGGTGCCTGCGTGAGCCCCGTGTCCGGGGGGATAGTTCCTGTCGGCTTCGGAAGGGTGGTGGGAGCTGGGGACGCCCCGTGACCCCGCTGGTCCCGGCCCCCGCAGTCGCTCCAGCCCACGTCGTGCTGGTTTGGGCGCTGGTGCTGCTCGCCAGCCCTGACACCCGGCGGTCTCACCTCTGTCTGCTGGCGGGGAGCCGGGGGCCAAGCGTCTCCCTGTCAGCTGCCGTGGGGCTGGGGCTGGAGCGGTGCCCCGGGGGCGTTCGCTCCGTGGGGCTGGAGCGGTGCCTGGGGGGGGTTCGCTTCGGGCTGTCACCCCCAGCCAGGGCGGGTGCAGTGTCTGTGGGGGCGGCTCACGGCCCTGGGCGTCCAGCCCAGCCCGTAACGGGCCTGGGGAGGTTTTAAGGTCCCTTTCTGCGTCCTTGTCGGTGTTATCAGAGTCGCCTGGGAGGGTGTGGGGTACCCGATGAAACAGGCTTTGCACATCTGAAGCCTGTATTGTTCATCGCTTTGGAGGATTTCCATAAAGTGTTATGAAAAACCCATTTTACTGCTAATTTGGCTTAAGCAAGTTGGCCATCAGGACAGGAACGCGCATTGCTCCTGGCGTCGGTGGTTGAGGGGTGTTTTCCCCTCCAGGGCTGGCTCCTGCTCAGGTGCTGGGGGAGATGTGGGTCCCCAGCGCCCAGGGGGTGCTGGGGGAAGGTGGGGCAGCCGCGGCAGGGCCCTCACTTCCAGACAATGGCGTTTACGGTCTATTGTCTGGGCGATGTGGCGCGTCCTCGCCGGCTCCAGGAAGCGCGTGCATCCCGGTGGGGCCGAGCTGGGCAGGGGTGGGGGCTGTGTCTGCTGGGGCTGGGCCCACGAGTGATCTGTGCACTGTCCCCGGAGCATCGGCCGCCGCAGCAGTGTGGGTGGCTCGTGGTTTGGCTGGAGCTGGGGACCTTGGAGAATTTCCCCTCTAGTCCTAGTGCTGTGTTTCAGTGTAATATTCAGTGCTGTCCTAATCCCATTAACTCTCCCCTTTGTTTCCCCCACCTGAAATCCTTAATCAGCCTTAGCAGCTGGGGCGGGCAACTGTGGTGCAGCTGCATGGCTTTT